TGATACTTCTCAGAAACCTGTTGATCCACGATGGCATGTTAAGCCTTTTAATGCATTTAATCAGGTATTCGTGATTAACTGAACGCTTTTTTAATGTCATACCACGTCGTATAAAGCTGGTTTCCGTGCTCTTCACAAACTGCCAAACTCAATATTGCTTGTTCCTTTGTACCTTCAATCTGGGTAAGAGTTATTAATTGTCTACAAGCAGCTTCCTCATGACAATTTCTAAGTGCATGATGCGTGCCACACATTTCATTGTTAACTTCTAAAAGTTCAACATACAAGTTATTGGCCTGAAGCAAAGGCGACGGTCTTTAATGGGACACCTTTTGGAATCGAGTTGGTAGTACCTTTACAGAACCACGGATCCTGTTCCCTGCATCCAGACAAATCCTTCGTACTATTTGTACAAGTCTGGATGCAAGGAGGCGCACTTCTTGATGAAGAAGTCATAAATTTTATCAGGCCCTGCCGTTTTCTAATTGTGCGAATAGGAGACTCTCTTACCAAATTCGGCTTCAGAGGGAAATTCATCACCTGGAATAAATTCTTCCAGATATTCGTTGTGTTGGATATCATCATAATTTCCCATTCCGGATTTCACATAGTACTCCAAAAATCCTTGATTTCCTCAGATCTTACATTGTGGCTCACGCACTGTTCTTCAGTCAGACTTCTATAAACCGTCTTCTGAAGAGCTCGAGTCTGACGTTTTGTATTTTAATGCACATCATGTCTTATAACTTTTTATTTTACTGTCGTAGACTCTCACGCAGTCTTTCAATATGCTTAACGTTTTATGACAGTCACACTAAGAGCAAGTATGAGATTCATCTCTCTCATTCACTTTTTGGCCTCTTTTAAACGATTATCTTCAAGTTTTTCACCAGCCAAAGTCCGTTCTATGAGGGATTTGTGGAAATTCAACAAGCTTATCTTCTCTTCTATGCTTGCCTTCCACGCCGATGGCTTCTTCTTTCGCCTCGTCATGTCTTCATAACATTGTTGTGCTGCCTGGAGCCGCTTGCAATATCAGTCGTTGACCTGGGGGGATTCTGTGTAGCATATTCACCCTCCACTTGGTTTACTGCTCCAAATATGAGCGGGTCCACGCTTCCCGATGTTGTTTTCCGCGTCCATTTTGTCTGGTTTATCTCACCTCCCTTGCATCAGCACTAGTTTTCCTTCGCATAGATAAACTTTAGACTCGTGTAGCGTATTTTCCTCAGAGTGCGTATTTTATGAATTGACATGTTTCTCCTCCAAGAACTCCTCCAGGAACTGTTTCTGTGAGCACAGACGACCTGCAATACTGGCGATCACAGAATTTGCTTGTTTCTTCAGTTTTTCGAGGGTAATAGCACACGAAAACTTTTCGCTATACAGAGAACGACACAATGGCTGTTTTCCTCTCGGCATTCTTCCAAATCCGGTACTCAAAGTTGGCGGTTCCAACTGATCAAGGAGTGCGCCTTACAAATCATATGTTCTTTGTGGATGATCTCAAGATCTTTGCGACCGATCAGGATAACATTAAATCTATGCCAAAAGAAGTTGAGAGGCTTCTTGTTGTGGTAAAACTAGAAGTAAATTCAGCAAAGTCAGCCACTATCACCCAGGTATGCACCGATAAAGTGGCGTTATTGGAA